AAATGTTCAAAGGTGGTGGCGGTGCTGCAGATACGTTTCTATCATGGATTCTACTCTACTTCGGTTCAATACCCACGAAAAGCAAACAAGTGCATCGCGCGGTGTTACTCGAACGCGATAGGCTGAACGATGGCAAGCCACGGTACTCGCGTGTATGAAAGTGGTGTTAAATGATCTAATAAAGAACCCAACAGGATGTTCTGGATGTGAGCGTTAGTCAATGGCGGACGCCGTGAAAGAACAACGCAAGCAGTAGTTAACAGTTTCGCGGACAGCCATAGACTCAATGAGACAAGTGGAACAGATAACACAAATAGCAGGATCGTGGTGAGGACGTTTGTTTGATTGAGTACCATGCTTAGACAAAATAATGTTTCAACAAATGAGACGTGACATGTGGTGACGTATTTCAGTTTCAGCTCAGCTTCCATAATCACTAACCGTGCACTCTTATGCGCTGACTTTGGTTACCGTCTTTTAGCCACCCATATGGATAAAAGAGAAGAATGAAGATTGGAATGTTGAGAGCAGAGTCAATGTAAAGATAGTGAACTCGTTTGGACTGGGGTTGTAAGAATAATGAGTGGATGCACGAGCGGCACTGTTTGAGACACTAAATCATATCACTCAGTGACTCTAACCACCGGTCACCATGATCTCGAGATCCCAATCCACAGAGCCGAAGAGGGTCTATGTAAATGGAAAATTTCACAGTACAAATGATATTTACAGAGTGATTTGAACTCTCATACACCTCTTACGAATCAAGCGTTGGCCCAGTGTCATAATCGATTGAGCATTTTCCATTCGGAATTTACCACATGGCGCACCGCTCCACAACTGATCCTCTTGGGGTGATTATCTACCAACACTTAGGCAGCATCGGATTCAGGAACCATCTTAGTCCTGTGCCTGCCCGAAAATCACACGACCGATCGGGTTCATTTATCGATCGGTCGAATGGTTCAAACGCAACAAGGGACCCGGCGCTTGCTCAGCTAACCCGAGCGAGGAACCACACCTTTATTATAGCTGTGAGTCTCAGGCAGGCCCAGTGAACTTCGACTGTGTAGCAGGAGTGCCATCAGCACTCGGATGGACTGGACGTAACAATAAGGGCGTTACAAAACGTACAAGCCGGTTATCAGACAGTCTCATGTTGAGGTGAGGGAATTTAAGCGCCGCAGATCGCGGAATATGATCCAATCAGATCGCATTAGGGGTCAGAGGGAATTGACCTTTATGCGTCATTCACAGTAGTACAGGCTGTCTCTAATTGTTCATATCTCTTGTCACCGTGTCTCCCAGAGAGGACACTGAGTTGATTCATCTCCCAATACCTGGTTTTATAGAAACATTGTTGGTTTTTTGCCTTGTCACCTGAATGATACTACAAGCACATGCTGTTACATGTGTCACTCTGTTACCATAAGAGATCGGTTATTGTAACTATCAGGAACTACTGAATAGTCTTTTGGAAATAAATGTTCGTTCTTTTAATTTAAGTTATTACTTAATCAAAAGTACCATATCTCTCTGATTACTTTCCAGGTGATATTCAGTGGTCTTGTATGGTACGTGTTTTCCACACCGGCAAGGGCGTATCTATATAAGCGGCGGAACAAGAAGCCAGCTTCATCAATCGATTAGATCTACTGGCATTTAGCTTTGCGAAAGCCATATTTTCTAGGACAGAATTTGCCTCTGGGTGTAATTTGTTTTCTTGTTGATTCGATTTGATTTTTCTGTTCTTGTGCTTGATTTCGTTTGTCTGAAATTTACAGTAGTCTGTTTGTGTGCACCACGTGTTTAGTAAAAAATAACGTATGAATACTACGGTCTGAATATACGTTTTTCAACGGGTTTCGGGTGAGGAACACAAGATATCAGCAACAGCGATATGCGATGAATGAAGCACGTACTGCCAACTCTAATATTATGTGCTCAGATTTCATATATTTTGAATCGAATTTTAAATATATCTCCTCGCTTCTAATTCCCAATTATTTTTCTACCCTCTCCTCCTTGAAAACATTGGAACATTTTAGCGAATCTCTTTCAAAATTCCAGTCATGACAGACATGTTCACGGATTCGTTTTGCAATCCTCTTATCATATTTCGCGAATCTTGAGTAACCGCTTTAGGTCTTCAGCAGGCACTGTACATTTTTGCAATTCAATTTATCTGAGTATCAGATCAAGAGGGCAAAGTACCATTTCGAGCGCCTTTGTCTCATCCTCATTTCAAGTCGTTCCAATAATCTCATTTGTGTGACACCGTTCAAACCTCACATCTTTGTCCATAGATCACCAATATTCAGCACAGATTCCTCCTACGGTTGTTGAAGGGAAGAGAAAAACGTTGATGTGATCTAACTGTGGTAATCAAATAGTATTGAATATCAGAATGCGAGAACCCGTACTGTATTGCTCAGACTTGGATTGGCTTCAATCGATGTAACATTCGAGCTTCCAGAACTGTGATTGGATGACATGAAGCTGTACCTTACCGTACTTGGAATGCGGTCACGTATGTCTGGATCACCACAACTCTCTTCCCTCAAGAATGTCTCGT